TTTTTTTTCATCTTTTTTCTGAATTTGGTTTCGTCTCTTATTTTTACTTATCTCGGGGTATGTATTCTTCTTCTTTTGAATTTGTTTTTATCTATGTGTTTCTTTTATATTGTGATTTTTTTATTTTATTTTTTTATTTTTTTTCATCATCTATGATTTTTATTTTTATTATTGTCTTTTTCTTTAACTATGTCTTTTATTATTTTTTCCAATTTTTTTACTCTTCTTCTTCTTAATAAAAAATAATAATTATAAACAATATGTGAATTAATTAAGTTATTAACTTTAGTATTAGTGTTTTTCTTTTATTATTAAATGAAAATTATATTATTTTAAAATATGTGAATTAATTAAGTCATTAATTTTTTTTTCTATGCTTATGTGAACACTCTAAATGGAGAGAAAAATCTCCTATTATATAATAAATTGTAATGTAATTTTGTAAATAAATGATTTTAAGAGTATTAAAATCTTTTCATCTCTGTTCTAAGTTAGACAAATCCAAAATTTACAAATAAGCTTTTGATTTTAGTAAAAAGGTAAAGAAGTTTGAAGTAGTATTTAGATAAAAAAAATCAAAAAACATTATCTAGATATTATAATTTACGATATTTTATTAGATATATATATTTTAATTATTTTTTTTTCTTATTATTTTTTTTTTAAATTTCAGTTTTATATAATTTCAAAAACGGTTTGATTGGACATTCCATTAATTTTTAAATAGATTTCAGTTTTTTTTTTAACATTTTTGTTAGATTTTTGTTTTCTAAAATTTGGTAAAATAAAAAATGGTAATCATTAAGTTTTTTTTTTCTTTTAACATTTTTGTTAGATTTTTTTCTAAGTTTCGGTAACATAAAAAATAGTAATCATTAAGAGATATAGTTTCCATATTTGTTTTTTATTTTAAAAATGTTATGTTATTTAAAAAAAACGTTTTTGTTATTTTTTTCTAAATTTTAGTTTTATATAATTTTAGAAACGGTTTGATTGACTATAAAATTTAATATTAAACTATAATAATTTAGACCGGTTTGTTTTAAATATTTTTTACACATCAACAGATAATAACCAATAAAAAATGATATGTAATTGTTAAATATGGATAAATGGTATTTTTGTAGCTGTAATTGATTCTAGTGCTGACACGTAAGCGAGAGGTTGTGAAACTCAATGTGAATGCGACACGTAAGCAAACCACTACACAAATAAGTATATAGATTTGTTAAATTTTTTTCTAAATTTCGGTAACAAAAAAATGGTAATCATTAAGAGATATAGTTTCCATATTTGTTTTATATTTTAAAAATGTTTATGTTATTTAAAAAAACGTTTTTGTTATTTTTTTCTAAATTTCAGTTTTATATAATTTTAGAAACGGTTTGATTGACTATAAAATTTAACATTAAACCATAATAATTTAGACCATTTTGTTTTAAGTATTTTTTACACATCAACATATAATAACCAATAAAAAATGATATGTAATTGTTAAATAGGGATAAATGGTCTTTTTGTAGCTGTAATTGATTCTAATGCTGATACGTAAGCGAGAGATTGTAAAACTCAATGTGAACGCGATATATAAGCAAATCACTATAGATAGGTTAAATTCTCTATTTTAATACAACAAATTTGCCGACAAAGAAAACTTTAATGAACCAGACAAAAATTTGATTTACTTTAAAAAAAATTTCCATACTTCATGATTAAAAAGAATAGTCATGCACGACAAAAAAAAAAGAATAGTCATGCACTATTTTTAGAAAATTGTATATATTCAAGATACTTAAAACTTTGACCAAGTAATTGACCAAATAGAAGACAACAGTAAGAAATCAACGTAGCTTTTTCGTCACTAGACTAGATAAAGTCTTTGGGACATTATTACTAACATTTTGTGGCGGCTCAGTGTTTATCTCAACCCCACACAATTCTCAGTTTCCTCGAAGCTTCATTTTATCTTCTTTGCCAAGACAAATAAATAACAATCAATCCAATATAAATTATTAACACCTCTCATCTGTGTTCACATGAAACTTCCCTTTACTTTCTCTTATTTCTTCTGTTCGTTGACTAAAATTTCTCTCTCTTCTTCTTCTTCTTCTTCTTCTTCAATCTTCATCTTGAGTGAGATTTTTGGATCCTTTCATGGATGCTATTCTGCAAGTACCCAATGATGGGTTCAGATTCGAAAACGGTACTGGATCTTGCTGCAAACCAAGGAACAATCTTGACTCTGGGACCAACCGTTTCACCTGTTTCAACGAATCTGAATCTCAGAACCCTTCTTCTTCTCCGACAAAATCTAAGGTATGTTCAGATTACCACCCTGTTTTTAAGTACATCAATGACATGTTGATGGAGGAAGATCTTGAAGGACAGTCTTGTATGTTGGAAGACAGTTTGGCCTTACAAACCGCCGAGAGATCTTTCTTCGAAGTGCTTCAGGATCAAACTCCTCTGTCTGATCATAGCGAAGGTTCTCTCGGAAACTTCAGCTCATTAACGAGCTTACACCAACCAACCTCAGAATTCACTGGATCGCCTGAGATATCAGAAGTATCAACCAGAAGGTATCGTCTACGGGATGATGGTGATGAAGAAGATGATATTGAGGGTGGAAGAAAAGCAAAGCTCCCTGCAATTTCTATGGTGGATGAGCTGGCGGAAAAGTTTGAGGAAGTGTTGTTGGTGTGTCAAAAGAACGAACTTGGAGAAGCAACACCGAGCAAAACCGGACGAGCAAAGAGCTCATCGAACCGATCCAAGCCTCAAAAGTCAGATCAGCCAGTGGATATGAGGAATCTCCTGATGCAATGCGCGCAAGCCGTGGCGAGTTTTGACCAGAGAAGAGCAGCTGAGAAACTGAAGGAGATAAGGGAACACTCTTCAAGCCACGGAGATGGAACTCAGAGACTTGGTTACCATTTCGCAGAGGCGCTTGAAGCACGTATTACAGGAATCATGACTACACCAATATCTGCTACTTCAAGCAGAACATCAATGGTGGACATTTTGAAAGCGTACAAGGAGTTTGTTCAGGCTTGCCCCACCATAATAATGTGTTATTTCACTGCAAACAGAACAATCTATGAGCTTGCTTCCAAAGCAACAACGCTTCACATCATTGACTTTGGGATTCTCTATGGATTTCAGTGGCCTTGTCTGATACAAGCCCTGTCACAGCGACCGGGTGGACCACCAAAGCTCCGTGTGACTGGAATCGAGCTGCCTCAGCCAGGGTTCCGCCCATCAGAACGGGTTGAAGAGACTGGCCGAAGACTGAAGAGGTTCTGTGACAAGTTCAACGTCCCGTTTGAGTACAGCTTCATAGCCAAAAAATGGGACACCATAACTCTTGATGAGCTGGTGATCAAAAGCGGAGAGACAACAGTTGTGAATTGCATCCTGCGTCTACAATACACGCCTGATGAAACCGTGTCCCTCAATTCTCCGAGAGACACGGCTCTGAAGCTATTCAGAGATATCAACCCTGACCTCTTTGTGTTTGCAGAGGTTAACGGGATGTACAATTCTCCCTTCTTCCTTACAAGGTTCAGAGAGGCTCTGTTCCATTACTCGTCACTGTTTGACATGTTTGAGACCACAATATCAGAAGAGAACGATTGCAGGACACTGGTGGAGAGGGAGTTGATCATAAGGGATGCGATGAGTGTGATCGCCTGTGAAGGTGCTGAGCGGTTTGCAAGGCCCGAGACCTATAAGCAATGGCAAGTTAGGATTTTAAGAGCAAGGTTTAGGCCAGTGAAACTAAACAAACAGATGATCAAAGAAGGGAAGGAAATAGTGGGACAACGTTACCACAAAGATTTTGTGATAGACAATGATAACCACTGGATGTTTCAGGGCTGGAAAGGAAGAGTCCTCTATGCTGTTTCCTGCTGGAAACCTGCTAAGAAGCAATAAAACTAACTCTGTAATCATTTGCATGATTTGTGTTAGCTTTCCATTTTTTCTTGTTTGACAATGTTTTTGTAGAAACTGTTGGATTTTGTTCTCATATATATGGAATGCATCGTTTCTTTCTTGCAAGAACATATGACAAACAAGAATCCAAATCTTTTTTCAAAAAAAGTATACAAAAAATTAACTTTGATATAATTGATCAAACCAATAGCAATTCAGAGTGTGTGATGGTAATACAGACATTGTAAGAGAATGATCTACTAGCACATAAGAACACATGTCCGCTAAATGTTAACAGAGATCACAACTAAGCTTAATTAACCGGTTTGGGTTTGAGTTTTTGACGGCTTCAGAACACTCCAGTCCACCTTCTTGCTCTTTCGGTGCTTAAAGGCATTGCCTTTCCCGTTTTTCCGGAACTTGTTTGGATAGTGTTGTTCAGACACTGCCTCAGACTGCTTTCTTTTCATGTTACCATTAGACTCTTGACTAGGCTCGATCTTTGGACACTCCGGTTCATCCAGACAAGATGCATTTTGACTATGTAGATAAAGAGAAGCAAAATCAGTAATGATAACTTTCTCTTCAGACTCCATTGCAACCAGTAAGGTACTAGTTTCCCCAAAATACAATGATTGGATAAAACTTAGCCTCTTTACTCAGTAGCCGAGTGCAATAATAAATAACTAACATTAAACGGGAAGGTACAGACCTAAAAGACACCTTTCCTTCATTACTGCTACAACTTTTGGTGGAACCAACTGTTCTTTGACCGTTTAATGCCTCTTCATTCAATTTCTACCACAAAAGACCAGTTCTTATTTCAGAATGATGAAACTATAGAACATCTCAGGTATCACGCACATACACACACTGACACACACACACACACACACTCACCTCAATATACGGATTAAAAGACTGAAATGACATACGTCCAACCAATGCTGATGGCTGAGGCTGAGGATCCCAATCAGTAATGACCACACTGCAACGATACAAAGAAGAAACAGTGGAATAACTATCATATGCTCGGAAACAACGTTGTTCCGGAGACAGAATTTTTGTTTTCTGATCATGAATACATGAACACAGGCAAACCAAAACCGACAAAACTTGCTAGGGAACTAGTCAAGGGCTTAAAGGGAGCACAATAAGACAGACAAAAAAGCAATATCAAAAACATCAAATACAGTACCACTTCTTTCGAACAGTACTGAGAGACGGTGAATTCTCGTTTGGCTCTTCATCATTCTTCTTTTTCTCTACTTTCAGAGTAGCCCTTTGCATAAACTACAAAGCAACAGCATTAAAACATTATTAGCAGGTTCTCGTCTCTCATCCACGAACGAGAGTTTCTAGTTGTATGGTTTTGTAATTATGCTAAGAAAATTCTTTCAATGAAAGATTCCAAATTTAAGAACCCAATCGAATTTAATACCTCAACACTAGATTCTAATCAACACAAGAATTTGTTTAATAGAGAGCTTCATAAAAAAATAAAAAAAAAATTAGAACGGATTCAATTTCTCGCGTGGTTTTTACAGACGCTAATCGAGGAATTATGTTCGTGATCTGACGCGTACCTTAAGGTTTCTCAGAGTCCCACTAAGCTCTCTCTTCGCCATTGTTGCCTTTCTCGGATTTGAGCTACGTCTAATCTCTCACAATCAAAAAGATGATCCCAAATTGTCTCCCGCTAGGTTTTTAATATTCTAACACGAAGGTCAGCATGTATTTTATACGTTTATTACTATGGGCTCATTATTTTGAACAAATTGGGCCCGTCTATCTGGAGCCCATCTATCAACTTTTTTTTTTAGAAATTCACAGATTCATAATGAGAGGTGATATAACGAAATGGTAATCTAATTTTTAACTACCTTGATAGATATTCCACATGTGCAATACAAGAAGACATAATTGTACAAAGCAATGCAGATCATTGTAGTTTAACATATTTGATTATATATACACCAACATTAGATGAATTTTAGTGATCCAGGGAAAAAGTCATAGAGATGCATCTCTTTTTTTTCGTGATTAGGAAATATGTCAAATCTAGACTGTATTTTAGTGTAAATGGTAGTTTGCTATAGTTTTGAACTTAAGATATACGGTACAAAATATGATATGTTTTGCCTATGATATTTTGCTTTGTTTCAGTACAGTTAATAGTCATAATTATAATCCATTAACTTCATATTCAATGTATTTTTATATTTCTTATATCAAAATAAAGTAACACTCTAATATAGTTGATTTATTTTCAATGTATTATTTTGATTCTACTCTAAAAATAAATATTCTATTTTTGTTCTCCAGAAAAGTAAACTTCTTTCTTTTACGTGGACATTTTAGAAAAACTTAAAAAAAAATGAACTCTTTTTTTAACAATAAAGTAAGAAAAGGACAATGTCTTATCAAATTATTTTCTAGTAATAACCAGAGATTTCTATGGGAGCTTGACACATTGAATGTCGATAATTCGATATGTCTCAACTCACTTCAAATCTGTTGGATATCCCATTTGAACAACATATTGGAAAATTTAGGTAGTTAAAAATGGTAGGAGATCACAAATCATTGATTTTTTTTCTCACATTTCACCCACCTTTCTCACATTTCACCCACTTTTTACTTTTATTTTCCTCTTATTTTCTTTTCTGGTTGTTTTGATATCATTCCCTCTCTTTCTGTTCCTTATCACCCACGCAATTAGAAGACATTTAATTTCTTTGATTTTTCTGAGAGGTTTTGCAGATTCTTATCCCAATCAAGGTTTATCTGTTTATATGTTTTTTATGCAGTATTATGAAATGTTTTTGTTTGGGGTTTTGCTGGTTCTTGATCCCAATCAAAGTTAAACCATAACCCTAAAGACACTACAAGCTTGACTTGGGCGATGAACTCATCTTATTCCTTCCATGCGCCAGCCATGAAAGAAAAACCGGTTTTCTTTTCCTTCCTCCATTCCTGGCAACATGCATGCACTTCCGTTTACTTGTGGCTGTGTTGGTTTGGTTTCTTTATGTGGCCTTTGTGGTGGTAGGATCTATTCTCTTGGGCATGTGCTATCTCTTCCTTTTGGGATCTCTTTCTGAAATCTCTATCTCTACCTTAAGGACGAGGAAGACTACTTTGGCTTTGGCATAGAAGAAATACCACAACAACCAGAACAACTTGATTATCTAGAGTCTCCGCCACCAGGAAATGATCATTTTATTATAAAAATACTAGGTGTTTAGCAGTTTTAATATCGGAAAATGCTATATAATGATACCATAACAGTTTTAAAAGCACTCTATTATCGTCTGTAATAATAGGTTTACTATTTTCGGTAGCGGCTTTTAGCATGGCTATAGTGTGTTAATCTAATATAGCTTTTTTTTTCATGCAATCAAATATAATATAATTGTAATTGTAATTTGTTATAAAAACTTTGAAATATAAAAAAAATTCCTATATTTATCCTGTAAATTGTATTAACATTACTATTTACCGAGAATTGGTTTTTCGGTTGTTAGATACCTCGACATATTAACAAGAAAAATGTAATATTTTATTATATTTATATGAAACCATATACAAAGAACCTGTTTGACAAAGTAAAAGTACAGGCCTCAACATAATCAAAAAGATCAGTTCATAGAACACTTGTATCTAAACTTGTAAACTCTCTATACACTCTTGGACCCCCAAGAGACAAATGTGTTGGTTTGTTCTGGTAGTAACTGTCACTCTCTTTTTATTCTGTTGATTTCAGGTTGTTGTTTCTTCTTTAGTGACTCTCCAACTGTTAGTGAGGCAATTGCCATTACTCCTTTAAAAACGTGACGAATGAGAGCTTTTATCATAATGCGACTGCCATATAATTCATAGTTTCATACCTGATGTATCATAAGAGATTATTAAGACTAAAATGTGTATAATACAAGAATAAAGCAAAAATCAGAAAGTGAATTAATTATCAAATTTGGGAATCTCGATTGAGAGAGAGAAATAAATAAATTATGAAAAAATCAATTTAGAATTAGTTTTATTTGGGAAAAAATAAGCCAAGAGTAACTGTTCATATGTGATAAATTCACACTTTTTAGTGTAAATGGTTGCTCGACGGATTAACGAGAATCTGATAAAATCGGTGTTAAATCTACAAAATTTGAAAGTTCAAATATTAAAAAAATACGATAACTAGTTTATGTCTGAGAACATAAATAGTTCATATATTTTTCTGATTTTCACCCCTTAGAATTCTAAGTATGAGGGTATATGTTATTCAAGTAAAAGTGTGGCTTTTTATTGCAATTTATCATTCCTTAGTCTATTGTCTTTCACTGCATCAAATTAACCTCGTCATTGCCTCCGATTTTCTTCCATAAAAATATTTATACAAATTGAATTATACCGGCATTAAAAATGTTTAGAAATCTGATGGCTAGAATAAACATCTAGTCTAGTTCATACCAAAAAGAAAAACAACCATCTAGTCTAGTCTCTTTGGTTACTCATTTACGATGGCAGTTAAAAAAAAAGATTTGACGCAAACATCGTGACTTTTTATTTAGTTCCGACAATCATCGATGTTTTTGGGACCACCCATGAGTAGAGACTAGAGAGTACCTATCAGGCTATCACTAGTAGAAAAAAAAGAACACATATTTGCCATTAAATGAAAGAAAATGATTTAAACCGTGTCTATGAGTATATCCTTTAGATATTATTTGTCAAATTAAATGTTAGAATAATTCATATGATTAGCTGGTGATGAGGAATGGGAGAATAATGCCAACTACATATCATTTCAACTTTAAAGCTGTAAAATAATATATATTTATACATAATAAACACCACACAAACAAAAAATGGAAATTGTATTCAACAACAACAGAAAACGAGGTTAATTTGTTTGTTTTCCTGATTTCATAAATTTCTCGTGATATCTTTGTATTCTCAGGTAACTCAGAAAGCTTTTCTGATAGTTAACGGAATATCCAAATCGTGTTTGTAAAGTGAAACTCAAGCAATTGCCATAAATGAAACCAAACTCTCAAATTGATTTGAATTCAAATTTGGCAACTTTTACAATCAATTCGCACCCCTCTCATTTTTCACCGTCCAAGATAAAAAAAAAAGTAAAGAACACTGAGCACAGACTTTTCACTTTCTCGGAATCGATAAAAAGCTTGAGAAAATTGCTTCAAGAGAGAACAAAAGAATAAAATAAATTCAAGAATCTTTAATGAACATAATGAATTTGACATTTTGTTCTCATAAATTTGATGTAACAAACTAAAAAGCTAATCGAAGATTACAAAGAAGAACAAAAAATAATAGGTTCCAATCTTTCTTCTGAAATTATATATTTACATTGTTTGAATCAAACAAACCAACAAAAAAATTTGAACTCTTTTCCCCTAACCTGATTTGATGATTTTCCACAAACTCAATCGTCAGAAAAATCTTCTGATCAAAGAAGTTGATCGATTCATAACCCTAGATTCGCCGTCTGTATCCAAATCTATAAGATTCGAAGAAGGAGAAGAAGAAGAACCATGATTTGGTCTCACCCTCCTCATAAACGAAACCATTCCACGAACTGCTCTCCTCAATCTACCGCCGGTACCTGAGCGAGCTCCGTTTCTGCTTATCTCCGGTGTCCCGTGTGCCCTAACCCATGAGATTCGTCTCGGTCCCTCGTTACTCCCGAGCCCACCACCGTCAACTTCCGTTAACACCACCGGCATTATCCTCTCCCCTTCTCTCATCGCCGCGTTAAACCTCCCAACGGCGAATCCACCGCCGGGGAGTCTCCAGATCGTCATCCCCACCGCGTGTTCCTCCTCGTTACTCCGTTGAATCGGATCCGAAGGCAATTCGAATCTACAAACCGGGCACGAGTTCCGGATCGAGAGCCACGGAACGATGCAATCGCCGTGAAAAATGTGCTTACACGGCATCTCGCGCCCTTCCATTCCGGCCTCGAAAACTTCCGTGCACACGGCGCAATTCGCCTCTGCTTTCATGTGGCAATCCGAGATCTCGACTCTCGGCAAAGACTCAATCGCCGATTTCGACGCCGGAGGATTCCCAGATCTACCGATCCCTGTAGTCGACGCCTCGATCTGGCTCAATTGCTCAAGCAACTGCTCAAATCCAGATCCCATCAAGATCTCAGATACAGAATCCGGTAACGGTCTAAGACCCGAACCGGATCCATCGTCGTAGTAGAACTCATAAGCGCGTCGATCCCTAGTGATCCCTTCTCCTTCTTCGTTCTCAACTCTCTCACCACCGGCTCCTCCGTGTAAAACGATTACCGGATTAAACGACGTGCGGCGACCGGATCTCCGTCGTCTAATTACAGATCTATGATTATCTTCGACCGATCTAACTCCCTGTAAAGCCGGAGTCGCCGGCGCTTCCGCGGCAGAAGAATCCTCAATCTCTTCGATGAAACCGCCGTCGCAATGAGGACACAGGACGGCGTCGTTTGCGTCTTGGTCAGAGGAAACGCTGACGAATCGCGTGCAACTGTAGCACCAATATGACGTTGAAGCAGCCGTCGTCGTCGGAGTTGTTGTCGCCGACGACCTAGATGGCATCATCGCTTTAACTTGTATTGCTGGTGAAAGGATCTGAGAGCGAAGGAGAAGAGGGAATCGCTGACCCGAAAAAAAAAGTTATTTGAGAGAAATGAAAAAACGTTTGGTTATATAACGCGATTTTTGTAGGTGAGTGATAACGGCGTCAAATTAGACGATTATAACACGTGGACAGTGTTTGAGTGGGGACGACGATGACGGAGTTATTAACGGTAGGGTGGGTCTGGAGTGAAAGGGAGCGTCATTGGCGTGTGCGAGATATTTGACCCCAAACGGATCAACGCCTGTGAGATTTCGAAGAAGTTTCAAAAGAATCAGCGTGGGACCCACCACGGTCTGCTTCTTCTAGTTTTCTTGGAAAGTAAGCCATACGTCGTCGTTTGGGGGGTAAGTATGCTTAGTATTAATTACGTTTGTTTGTTTGTAATATTTGTATAGAATTTAATAAAAAATGTGTGTTTGTCATGATGTGGACTGTGTATATGGTGGATCTTTGAGTTTTGAAATGAGATAGATATGTTGTTCGAACATCAACATTGTTTGACATTTGTCTAGTTTATTAAATATAAATACAAGGACTAAGTATTTTTTTGGTTAACTATTTTTTTGGGGTCAAATAAATTGCTTTTTTTGGTTAACCAAAACATGACTTTTTAAGTTCTATATCTCGAGTCAATACGGTTGGACCCATGGTTGGATAAGCAGCATTCGTCTCTTGCTCATCTATTGGACACAACAAGCCGTACTGGTTTGTGTTTCTTTTTTAAGTTTGTACATTTTTTTCCTCTGAGACAGTTGTGTTTTTTAAAGACTTTTTCAAGGATATTATCTTCTTCTGAAATATACATACATTGTGCTTTTGTTTTAGTACCTAGTGGATGATTCGAACTTAATGCGTGACTTTATACTGTTGTTGAAGTAATTAGAAAAACCTCGGCTAAATACATTGATAATAAATCTAGTTTTAAACGATTTTATAAAGTATTTAATAAAATAAAATTTCAAATTGTTAGTTCGGAAGTGGGAACCATTAACTGCGCGTCTGCTACTTTTCTAACTGATTCAAGCCTACCAATGGATTGAGCCATTCCAAAATTTCTACAACAAAAGCTTCATAACTGGTTTCGATCTGTGTGACTTCTTCAGTAACGAGTAGCAGCAAAATTTATACAAGAATTTGCTGTGATGAATGAGTGGGACGGTATTACAGTATCCAGTTACGATTTTAGCTACTAGCACGCTTAAAATGTTCACGAATAAATCTCTCGGCGTGAGACGGGTACCTATCTCGGACATAGGCTCGAAGACATTTCTGGTACGAAAAGTCTATCCATCCACCATCCGTTCTCACTACAAAAAGGCACCTCGAGTGCCTGAATTGAGGATGCCTATCAACCTGCCAATAACCAGTAGCAATTTATAAGCATTCTTTCAATCATATTAAAAGACAAATTGTAATGGTGAATTACATCAAAGAGATTGCAGACAGACTCCTAAATATATGATTTCACGGGCTAATTTTTAGTAAAATTCACTCTACTTCAAGTTTCAGGATCAAACTTGCTTATCACATAACTTCCACTTTTGTAGGTTCATCAGTTATCTACTAATACAAAAAAACTAATATAAAGACAATAGAAAAATGTAGATGGTAAAGCAAGGTGTGTGAAAGCTTAGTTTGAAGAAAACAAATGCAGCATCATACGTCGATAGAGAAAGATGAGGTTTTGGATGATTTGGAGTCTATGCAAGCAAATGAAAAGTTACGGATATAAGCATTTATATCTATCAAATTTTTGGACACCAGCGTGCAAGTGAGGCATCTATCTATCATTCTGGTTCGACAATTGATCCTAACGATGTGGGGGAACATGCATAATACCTCTAGATGATACTTAAGCGATAAGAGATGAAAGAAAGAGAGATATCTACGTACCATTATAAAATCAAGACCGCAGCCAATTTTATCTTTGGAGTAAGGGTGATAAGCAAGAAGCTTTTCCATGACAATTTTCTCATCCTCAAATTCTAACCTTTCTCCATCCAAGTACCTGCTTATCATAAGAGAGAAAAAACAGTTCATTCGGACTTCAAAATAATCTACATGAAAGGGTGAGCATGTACTGAAGCTACTAGCTTCAAATATCTATAGTTCACTAAAAACACTTCCTATTTGGCTATTTTTCCAGTAGTCTGAAGATACAAGAGCATCTATCACGATATGGAGAACGATTATTTTGCATTGTCCACTATAATCCGATCAGGCTCGAAGCTATACATCGATAAAGATTTCTCATGGAAAAACTTCTTTTGCGAAAATTTGGCATATCCACAGAGCAATTTGGTTGGAACCATCGTAGATTTGACCTCAGTTCATGAATCTACTTGTCACATCAAAGGCCAAATGGTCTCTTCTACGTTGTTTAAGTAGGTAAAGCTACTCGAAGAAGCTATGAGCCTATAACTTGAAGATTAATCCAAAAATGGAACAGCTATTGTATAATATAAGGGATTCATTCCAAGTACTTCAAGAACAATCAGTGACCAACTACAACAAACCTAAACTTCGAGACTGGAATTGTAATTCAAAACATTGGCACTAAATTTTGAAGATTCAGTTCTATCAAGTTGTGGAAGACGATAAACGATAGTGCAGCTGATCTAACCCAAGAAAACCGAGAGTGAAATTTACCTATCCGAATGAAGAATGTCTTTGGCGAGAAGAGCTATAGGTTCGATATCTCGAAGAATCTCCGCCTCTAGGTTCTTCCATTTCCGATAATCAGGATCTTCATACCGCCAGCTATCATCAACAGGCGACGGCGATTTCATAGCCGCGGCGGATGCCTCCGCCCGAGAGTCATCCCCCTGAAACTGTGGTTTATCAGCAAGGGCACACCATAGACGCCGACGGTGAGAGAGGAATCCAGCGGCTGCGATGCTGACTTGATGACGATGGTTTAAAAAACCGTTGCGGAGGAGAGGTAGGGTTCTGAGGAGGAGTAGCGAAGTCATTGACAAGGATCGAAGTGGAATTTACAGAACACACAAAGATCGTCCCCAAAACGAGAACCAGAATTGAGAGTAAACCCTAAACTGTACAGTAACTCGACGAAGAAGAAGATGAAATGAGAGAAAAGCTTGCACAGTCGGAAATTTTGGGGAAGAAGATAAGGACGAAAGGAACGTTTCCTCAGATTTTTTTCTCTGCATATTTATTTTAAAATTACGAAGCTGGGCTTCGAACCCGAGATGCTGAGGAAGCCTATTCATTTCTCAATAGTGAAAAGAAAAAAAATTACGAAAAGAAGAAATTTGTTGCCATTCTGTGCCGTTAGATTGATCCTTAGACACTTCTATAAATATCTAAAACCATGATCCAACGGTTCAGATATCGTATTGCGTGTCAACACTGTACATACTAATCACCGAATCTTTCTCCTCTTTTCTCTCTCCAGCTGGCCGAACCCACCGGCTTTGCCCACTTTCTCTCTTAGGCCCACGAAGGCAACTTGGTAAGTCGGTAGCAAATGACGGAAGTACCCACAAAGATAGCTTACTTGGCCCTTTTAACTCCACGTGGCTCATCTTACGTGCCTACTTTTGTAATTTCGTACATAATCTTCTACAGCGCGACTATCGTTACGAAACGTTCACTCGTGACGTGTTTTAAAGAGTGTGGTTGAGTTTAAATATTTTAATCTGAGATATTTAGAAGATCAAAAATATCTAGCTAACTCGTCCACGTTGGCACTAACAAAAGGCCCATTTGGAATTAGATGTTGCGCTTTTTCTCTTATCTTTTGCTTTCTTTTTCCTCAGAAAAAAAAATAAAACAATGAACAATTGATATTTGGGTTCTCTCTCTCTCTCTCTCTCTCTCTCTCTCTCTCTCTCTCTCTCTCTCTCTCTCTCTCTTTTGAAAAATTGCTCACTCATCGTCACAAACCAAACTTCTCCACGAATTTTCAATCTTCCTTCTCTCCATCTCCGATCTCCGATCTGAGAACCTAAGAGATCTTCTAAGAACTTTCAATCTCCAACTGAATTTCCGAGAAAATTAGTGAGTAGAAATGGGAGAGGAAGTGAGGATGAGCGATTACGATGTCTCCGGCGACGGAGATAGGGTTACGGAATGGGAGATGGGGCTACCCAGCGACGAAGATTTAGCATCGCTTTCTCACTCACTGATTCCGGCGAATCTCGCGATGGCTTTTAGCATAACTCCGGAGAAAAGCCGTACGATCCAGGACGTGAATCGCGCATCGGAGACGACCTTCTCGTCGCTGCGCGGCGGATCTTCCGGTCCCAACACTTCCTCCTCAAACAACAACAGCAACAGCTTCAAAACCGGCCTCGCGGCGGAGGAGGAAGATCGGGTCGGATCGAGCAGCCCCGGATCCGACTCGAAGAAACAAAAGACATCGGACGGCGACGGCGATGGCGGTGGCGGTGTGGATCTATCTACGGCGGATGTAACGGCGGAGGAAGGAGATTCGGGAACCGAGGATCCTACTGGGAAGACACTGAAACGACCGCGTTTAGTGTGGACGCCGCAGCTACACAAGAGATTCGTCGACGTGGTGGCTCACTTGGGGATTAAAAACGCCGTCCCGAAGACGATTATGCAGCTGATGAACGTGGAAGGACTGACTCGAGAGAACGTTGCTTCTCATCTCCAGAAGTACAGGCTGTATCTCAAGAGGATGCAGGGATTGACGACGGAAGGCCCGTCTACTTCCGATAAGCTCTTCTCATCAACGCCTGTGCCTCCGCAGAGCTTCCAAGACATCGGAGTAGGTAACGGCCAAGGGAATGGATCGGCCGGAGTTCCGATTCCGGTGCCGTACGGAGCGCCGCCGATGATGCAGATGCCAGTCTATGCGCATCATATGGGTATGCAAGGATATCATCACCAGAATCTCGGTCATGATCCTTATCATCAGAATCGTCATCATCATCATCATGGAACTGGTGGACCTGGTGCGTTTGAAGCAAATCCGTATATGATGCAGCAGAACAAGTTTGGATCCATGGCGTCGTATCCTTCTGTTGGTGGTGGAAGCGCGAATGAGAATTGAAAACGAATTGGATTTGGGAGTCTAGAGATGGATCAGTGAAGGAAGAGAAGAATCGGTGAGCTTGTTTTTGCTCGTGGAACTGATAATTAGTCAAGCTTCTGTCTTTTAAGTACAGTTTATTATATTTTTTTACACGAATTTGAGCAAATTTTTATCAAGTTTCTGTCTTTGCTATAAATGGTATACAATAAAACCTTTGGCTTTTTTTAATCAACTTGTTCGGGTGCATTTTGTTATTGACAGAGCTAACATCAACAAACTCGAGATTGATTTTAGGATCCTCGTGCTAAGTTGAATTGTTTCTTGGGAAGTATTTACAATCTATGTGACTGGAGACATAATACAATCCAGATCAGTGTTGGTTTATCTTCCTAATTACAAGCTCTTCTTAAGAGCCTTGTTACTAATCAACATTTTGGAGTTGGAACTAAGTAAACACTGAATGCCTGTATCCAAGTCTTGCTGTAACAACATGAGTGCTTACATGTGTCTTGTGGCTTGCTATTGTTTTCTGTGCTTAAAGCCATATATGTAGTGCTGCACAAGTACGGTACTCTCTTAGTTTGCTTATAGTAACATCGTCACCAAAGTGCTAGTTTTACATGTTCTCCGGTTTTGGTTCAGACAGTACAAGATTTTTAGGTAGAATGAGCATTTCCTTGCTTGTTAATGTATTGTAATTGCAAAACAGTTGGTAATACTCGTGTGAGTTTGTCCATCGCAGGAAGTATGTTTTGTATTTCTTCTCAGCAACATCACATGCCTTGGAGGTAGATTGGTCAGGTATTAGTTAGACCGTTCCCAAATTCTCTGCGTCTTTGCAGTTCTTGATCTGATTTGATAATTGTTACAGGTTCTTGGCTTCTGGTAACATTTCAACTTCATTACATCCATTCAAAATTTCTCATATTTTTTCCGAGTTTCCCATCCCAAGTCGTCATTGCATCTATATAGGAGGAGATCATACAACATACCTTGTCGAAGATAAACCAATCAGTATTCTTAGAGCACAATGCAGGGCGTTGAAAATGCATCTGATAAGTTTCATACTTTAATTCTGTTTTGTGAGGTAAGTGCCTTTGGTTATTGTCTGTAGACTTCTTAGAGAGAAAATCAAGAGAGATGGCATCAGACACAATCTTCATGTTTATTCGTCGTATGACGACTTTTTCTTTTCTAAAGTAATAGCCTTTGATTGGATTGAAGAGCCACGTACCAATGAACTTCCAACAAAAGGAAAAAGAAAGTGACATTCCAACAAAAGTGGAAGTTTTTTATTTATTTTTCTAGCTGACATAGAGTAGTTATTGGTTTTAGCTACTTTTCGATTTAGATAATCATTTAAGAACTTTCCGTCTCCAATATAAGATCATAATCTTACAAAAATAAACTAACATGTGGTTCCATAAATATACTATTCTCTGCGCATCACACATTCAGTGACAACCTTATCCTCAAGATCACTTTTGTGTCCCCCCTTTGATTTTATTCTTGCAAAGTATGATTTTAATTTCTAGAATAGAAAAGTACATAGATTTTTAAATACCCACACAAGTCATTCATCCACTACCTTGTCTGAAGAACCTGTTTCCTTCAACATAAGACTCTTTTCACTGGCAGATATGGTGAAGTAAATAGAGACTAATTTTCTAATTTGTTTCACAGTCTCTTCACGAAGTGTACAAATTCATCTAGCGAGTTGTGTGAAGAACCGCCATCTCTAACAGAGGCTCTCAGTCTCTCCTTCAAACTGAGGGCTCTCTTCCTCATCTCCTCTCCTTCTTCGCTCACCATTAACCTCCTCACAGCTCTCTCCACCACTCCTCTGTTTAGCTCACCTTCCACTTGAACCCCAATTTTCCAAACACACTCCAAGAACCTCGCGTTCACCTTTTGATCGCCGGAAAATGGCCTGCAGATCATTGGAACTCCTTCGCCGATGCTCTCTAGCGTCGAGTTCCATCCACAATGGCTCCAAAACCCACCTACTGCAGGGTGAGCAAGTACTTCTTTCTGTGGTGCCCATTTCACAATGTAGCCTCGTTCCGAGACAATCTTACCAAACTCTTCAGACAAGGACTCTGTCCATTCCGAACCAGATACTGACCCTGGTCGGATCACCTATAAGAAGTGTTGGTTGCTAGCAGCCAATCCAGAAGCTGTTTCCATCACCTCACTGATTTCCATCAAAGCTAAGCTTCCCAAGCTGATGAATATAACTGAATCTTTCTTTTGTTTGTTCAACCACTCGATACAGCTCTTGTTCTCTTCAAGCAGACTCGTAGGAGCTGAGGCCACCATGTGAAGAGGACCTATAGGATACACTGGAATCTCTAGCTGTTGTTGTTGCAGAGAAGACAAAGATGCGCTCTCTAGACAGCTCGCCGTGTTGATTATCACAGAGGAAGCTGTCTGTTTGTCAACTATGTTCCTATAAATCTCCATTGTGCTTTATAATGATGCCCAACGTGAAACCGGCAAGTCTTTGTATCTCAGGGGATGAAACTCTGGCACAAGCTCTTCTTTTCGTGCTCTGAGTTCTGTGATAAGGGTAAAAACCATGCCGTTACAGATCATAGACGCTAGTGAAAACCGGAAACATAGATTCTAGAGTACCTTTCAAGGGATCCAGGACATTGTTTGGAAAGAGTTTGTCGAATACAGAGCGACAAACGAAAGCCGTGGCACTTGTGGTGCTGAAAATAATGTTTGGAAGCTTAAACTCCTTGGCTGTAGCTCCAGCAAAGTACATGAACTCGTCGTAGATGATACAAACATTACTTTGTCGCAGCAACAATTGACCCAAACAGTCCTTGAAACCCACCTGACACTCTTTGTTGAGCTTAAGCAGAAACTGTAGTGGCCCGAGGTTCTTGAAATCAGTTTTTGGTAAGGTTTCTTGAATGGTGACAAACTGAAAATCAGTGAAGTCATCTGAAGGGCTGAAGTAGTTAAACTTGGTCTGAGCAACTGTAATTGAGAAACCCTTCAAGTGAAGAGCTTTGGCAAGCTGCATCATTGGAGATATATGTCCTTGTGCTGGAACTGGAACCAACACTAGCCTTCTTCTCGCGGCCTTTTCTTCCATTCCCAAAACCTGCAAAAAAGAAACTAAGTAATAGTCTCTTCAGCTTCGGGCTCTGTGAGTTCGGTTTACTTCTATCCTCCAATTTTTAATCTTTCTTGAAGTATGTGGTATTTATTCACAGAAGGATCTTACTATCTTTCACATACAAATATCAGTTTTTCTGGCTTGTGGACATTGATTCATCCGTATTACTTTTATTTTTTATTTTTATTTTTTGGCTCTCTTTGCCACATGTGAAGCATGTGGTGGATGATGTATGTGAGTACGATGAGGTGGTTATATACTTGCACCTCTTTACCTTTCTAGAGAGTAATCATAGACAAAAGTAAAGATGATTCTGTCTTCTTGGTCCTCTCTTGTCATGTTTGCTTCATATCAGAAGATAGTTCCAAATGTGAATACTGACCTTTTTTTTTTTATGCAACAATTTTTATTTAAGCAAACGGCCAAAAGAGATACTCTTATTTGATTTAAATTGCTTTTTTTTTTTTTTAGATAAGAAAAACCAAGTACTCATGATCTAAACAAGCTTGATTGGAGAATGATCTCTAATAATACATGAAGTGCAACTTTTCACTCTGCCTTCAAGTACTTGACGAGATCATCAAATGCTTTGTGTGAGGAGCCTCCACTTCTTACAGAGGCTTTGAGCTTCTCTTTTAGGACATGTGCTCTCTCCCTCATGCCTGCACCTTCTTCATCCACAATTAACCTCTTCACAGCTCTCTCTACTCCTCCTCTTTCCATTTCACCTTCCATCTTAATCCCAATTCTCCACACACTCTCTATGTACTTTGCGTTTAACTTCTGTTCGCCACTAGAAGGCGTGCAGATCATTGGGACTCCTTCTACAATGCTCTCGAGCGTTGAGTTCCATCCACAATGGCTCCAGAAGCCTCCCAATGCAGGATGTGCAAGTACTTCTTTCTGAGGTGCCCATTTCACAATGTATCCCCTTTTTGAGACCATCTTACTGACTTCCTCTGGCAATGACTCTATCCATTCTGAGTCCGGTCGGGCGACCCATAAGAAAGGTTGGTTGCTATCACACAACCCTCGAGCCATCTCCAAAACTTCCTTGGTTTCCATCTGAGCTAGGCTTCCAAAGCTTATGTATATGACTGACTTCGGTTTCTGCTTGTCCAGCCATTCAATGCAGCTCTTGTCCTCTTCAAGTAAACTAGATTTTGCTGAAGCTGTAATATGAAGAGGGCCTAAAGGGTACACTGGAATTCCGAGTTCTTGTTGCAGCCATGACAGAGAAGAATTCTCTAGACAGCTTGCAGTATTGATGATAACAGCAGAAGCTGTTCTTTTGTTGACTATCTCTCTACAGAACTCAATATATGGCTCTAATGGCCCCATTCCTGAAATCGGTACATCTTTGTATCTAAATGGATGCAAATTTTCCACCACCTTGTCTTGCACTAGAGGATCTGCAAAGTATAAGAAAAAACCTTGTATAGTAAAACAAACTTTTCAAGGTGGGATATAAATCAAGCTAGTTTTTAGGTACCTTGCATGTCCATCAAGAACTTCTTGGCATTGAGTTTGCTTAAAACAGTGCAGCAAACTCTATGTGTAGCAGTTGTAGTGCTGAAGATGATACTTGGAAGGTTAAAATCCTTAGCTGCAGCTGCACAGAAGTAAGTGATCTCGTCGTAGATGATACATGCTATATCATTGCCTTGTTGTAGCAGCAATCGACCTATACAGTCCTTGAAGCTAGCCTCTCTGGCGTTGTTCAGCTTCATCAGAAACTTGACTAGTCCGAGTCTCATGACTTCAGACTCTGGTACGCTTTCTGGTATGGTAATATATTGAAAACCAGAAGATTGTTGCGCAGAAGAGCTTACTTGATTGATTTCTCCTTGAACAACTGTAATTAAGAAGCCCTTTAAGTTAAGGGCTTTCCCGAGTTGCATCATTGGAGTTACATGTCCTTGTGCTGGAGCTGAAACTAACACTATCCTTCTCTTCGCTTCCCTTTTCTCCATTGTTTAACTTCTCTCTCTCTCTCTCACTTTTATTTCATATGTACTTGTGCTGGAGCTGAAACTAACACTATTCAAAGTAGTATATTTATACAAATATAAGATTTTTCAGGCTTGTGGACATTGATTATCCGTCCATTAATATACTTCTCCTTTTTTTTACTCTCTTCACCACTTGTGAAGCATGGGCTGGATGATGTCTGTGAGTAATGACGTGGTTTCATATTGTTCAAGAGAGTAACCAAAGACAAACAAGACTATTAAAGATCCTTTCTGTCTTCTTGGTCCTCTCTTGTCGTCATTGACTTTATATCAAAAGATTATTCCAAAAAAAATGAGATTTTGAAAAAATTGTCAAAAGAGGTACTTGTATTTGTTTTAAAAAATGCCAAAAGAGATACTCGTACTTGATTTTAAAATTGCCAAAAGAGGTAAAGTAAGGGGCAAATCGGGAAAAAAACTCGAACAGAAGAAGACCACCTAATTTTTTTTTGTCGGTTCGTAGATGCTTAATTTTCGGGTCAACCGTTAGTTAAGATAGTAGATAGTAGACACCAATGTTTTCAGACCCGGACCGGACCGGACGGTTCAACCGATTAAACCACGATCCGGTAAGATTTCTGGTTTGATTTTTGTTGAAAACTCGAAATTCTATTAAACCGCTTAAATCCAGAAAAATCCGCTTAAATTCGGTGAACCGGCAAAAACCCGACCCAGATGGGTTTCAGGTTTGGAAAATAATTAATAGTTTTATAACTTTATTTATGAATATATGATATTTTTTTAAAAAAAAATAGTTTTGAAAAACAAAATTAGAACAAGATGCAGAGCACTTAGAGTAACAGAAGATGAAGAAAACGAGACGGTAGCAAAATCAAAAAATATTGCTAGAATTTTCTACATTATTTTTGGATTTTATGAGATAATTAATATACTTTTATTTTAATATTTTTAGTAGTAATAATGGTTTGTTTTATTATATTTTATTGAATAGTTTGTTACTTTCTCACCATTATACATTTGTAAGTTTTATAATATCAAATTTTCTAGTAAAAAATTAACTGTTTAAAAAAGAAAATAAATAGAAGGAAAAAATATATAATAAAATATATAATTATAAATGTTAAAAAATATAGTTAATATGATCACTATATTTAATGTATATTTTATTTAAATTTTATTGAAAAAAAATTATACAAAAAAAGATATATGATAATTAATGCGATTTAGTGACAAAACTTTTTAGCAAAATTTGTATTTTTTACACAACAGAAAAATGTAACAAAAGTGATAAAATTTATTAAAAAACATAACAAATATATATATATATATATATATATATATATACTTAGTTGATTCGTGGTTGACCCGGATTGATCCAAGTTAATCTAGTGACCCGGCAACCTGAAGAACACTCCGGGTCATTGTCCGGGTCGGGTTTAAAAACATTGGTAGACACCTAACTAATCCTTTGAAAAATGGCCAAAGGAGATACTCGTATTTATTTTTAAAAATTGCCAAAAGAGATACAGTACTCGTATCTGATTTAAAAAATTGCCAAAAGAGATAATTGATTTAAAAGTTGCCAGAAAGTTGCCAAAAGAGATTCATGAAGTGCAGCTTCTCTCACTCTGCCTGTAAGTACTTAAGTGATCATCAAATGCATTGCGTGAGGAGCATTCATTTCTCAAAGAGGCTTTGAGCTTCTCTTTTAAATCAAGGGCTCTTTTCCCTCGTCTCTGCACTTTCTTCATCCACAATTAATCTGTTGGGATAAGATATAGAATTTAGTGTTTAAATTAGGGGTTAATTTTTAGAATTTAGCCTAATTTTAGAGTTCTTGGTATACATTTTAAAGAATTTTGGTTTGAGTAATATTATTTTTAAATTTTCTTTTAAAATAAATATAGGAGATGTGATTAATCTTGAATCCGAATAGAAATTATAGATCACCATCTATTTATACTATATAAATATTAATTATTTTGGATACTTTTATATCAAAAGAATCAGAATCGAAAAATGATTGAACAGTTTTCAACTGTTTGACCAAAAAAAAAGATTGAACAATTTTTAACTATGGAATAGGACAATTAAGTGAATATAAGTAACAAAGAAAATAGCTATAAAGATCACCTAATAAAGCAAACTAGATTTTACCCCGTGCATCCGCACGAGAATTTTTAATCAAAATTTGTAATATATTTTTTTTATAGATATAATTTTTAATAAGTGTCAAAGATTTATTTTTAGTTTAGATATAATTTGTTTTTTTAAGTATTATTATGACCACAATTATAAAAACATAATTCTAACCCGATCATTCTATTAATCAAAATATGAACATTATTATAAAAACATATTTATAATTCACTCATTCTATTAATCCCAAAAAACCGTGGTTATAAAACCATAATTCTAATCCGTCTGTTCATATTACTATATCATATAAATATTTATTAATTTTGAAATAATATTTATCTTAATATCTTGTATGTTTTGATAAATTAATCCGCACAAGACCACAATTATAAAAATAACATAACCCGCTCCATAAAATTATTATATAATATTAATATTTATCTGTTTTCAATATGTAAAATTTTAGTCTGATTGAATATGATTAAAAAAAATAAGGTATTGATTAATTATATTTGTTATCCTGAAAATATTATTTGGATTTAAATGTTAAATTAAATCTGACCTATATTTAAGGAAATATAAAGTAATTTAAATTAATATTTATTTTTAAAATTAATGTTATTACAAAAAATAGTTTGAATTTTAAATTAAATATAACCTATATTTAAGGAAATTTTTAGTTATCTAAATTAATATCTAATTTTCGGAATTAATTTTTTATTTAAAAGAAAATGTGTTTTTTAAAAATAATATTGCAATAAATTAGGATAATTTTAAAACTGTTTTAAAAAAAAATTAAAAAATTTTGGGAATGTTTGGAAACAAGTACTAAAAGTGCTTCTGTTTTAATATAATAGATAATAAAGTTCATGATTTGGAGACAAAAATAACTTTGTGTAGATAAGAACGATAAAAAAAGTAAGAAAGAGAATGTACTCTCAGACGCGCCGGACGCATGCTTTATCTTCAACCAATCTGTGTTAGTATAGAGTTATAGACAATCTAATCACTTAAGATTGAAGTATCCATTTATCCTTTTCCGACCTGTAAGTTCATAACCTATCATAAACATTTTTTCCGGTAAGTCTAAATCTGCCATCGCAACACTGAAAAAAAAAAAAAGAATATATCAAATTAAATAGAATATTAGGTACAACAAAAATTATATACATTCAAAGAATCATAAAAAAGTTCTATACACATATAGACAATCTATAAAAAATTCTAACAATAAAAAACCCAAGTATATATACAGATAGATATAATAATGATTTACATGTAGTCATTCTATATAAAATACATATAGTCAATCAATTTAGTAAAAACCCTAAAATAGAACTTTTAATTTTCTTTAATCTGAAACCCAATTTTTTTGATTATTTCAGCCTCCAATTGCAGAATCCATAATCCAGAATCGACTATTTCATCTTACAGCTTATTGCATCATCATCGACGATAACCAACAAAACTCAAACCCAGAATTGAAATCGATATTGTGACTATAAACCCAAACCTATAATTAGCCAGCATATTCAGGTCCGCCGCCGACTATTTCATCGGAGAAATCTGCTCCTCCGCCGGCTAATTCTTCATCACCTCCTAGCCCACCGGCTGATTCATCACCGCCACCATCGTCCGATCCAGAACCGTCGCCTCCTCCTCCCGATTCAAAGCTTCCTTCGCTACCTTCGATTCTACCTCCATTACTCAGCACTCCACCTCCACCTGTCGATTCTCCACCGGCTGAATCAAACAATTATCCACCGCCACCAACATCAACTAAACTATCCTCTCCTCAACATTTTATCCAAATCCAAACCCAGATTTGATAATGTTATCGATGAGTACAAACCAAATACAATGTCTGCGAGTAGGGAAGTTAAAGGGTAAACTTATAGATATTGTATATAATATATAAAATATAGTAACCATCATCTTTATATGGTTATTCTTTTAAATATAAACTTTTTGTTGGTTATTAACTACAATTTCCCTTCAACTATTTAGTAAGAGTTTGTTACAAAAAAAACTATTTAGTAAGAGTTATATATGAGGTGAGTGGGTGGTTGTGAGATTTTTTTTTTTTTTTAGCCATGGTGCATGAGAGATAAAGAGTGCTTTCTGGAAACTTGCCTATGAAATATTATCCACTTCATGATCATATAGTAGACTTTTTTTGCATCGGGACAGTGTATTGGTGCTTAGTTAATTTTATGTCTGGACCACTGTGTTGTGTGTCTTTTAACTAAGAGACATTGCATTTGCATATTCAATTTGAGTTGTATGGTCGAAGGAACTGTGACTTGCACCTTTTTTCTTACTTGTAGCTAGCTATTTATCGTTACAATTAAGACCAGCTGCAGTGTAGCTTTATTTATGGTACTTTGTAAATTTTAAAAGATCAAGCTTGATCCACACAATTCATTGATCTCTAATCAGTTAATAGTGCACGAAGTTCAGCATCTTCACGAGCTCATCCAATGCGTTGTATGAGGAGCCTCCACTTCTTACAGAGGCTTTTAGCTTCTCTCTTAGAACATGTGCTCTCTCCCTCAAGCCTTCACTTTCTTCATCCACAATCAACCTCTTCACAGCTCTCTCTACTCCTCCTCTTTCCATTTCACCTTCAAGCTTAATCCCAACTCTCCACACACTCTCTATATACTTTGCGTTTAGCTTCTGCTCACCAATAAAAGGCATACAAATCATTGGAACTCCTTCCACAATGCTCTCAAGCGTTGAGTTCCATCCACAATGACTCCAGAACCCTCCCAGTGCAGGATGTCCAAGTACTTCTATCTGCGGTGCCCATTTCACAATGTACCCCCTTTTTGAGACCATCTTACTGACTTCCTCTGGTAATGACTCTATCCATTCTGAGCCGAGGATAGAACCCGGTCGGATAACCAATAAGAACGGTTGGTTGCTATTGAACAATCCACAAACCATCTCCAATACATCCTTGGTTTCCATCAGAGCTAGGCTTCCAAAGCTTACGTATATGACTGACTTCGGTTTCTGCTTGTTCAGCCATTCAATGCAGTTCTTGTCCTCTTTGAGTAAACTAGATTTCACTGAAGATAAAATGTGAAGAGGGCCTAATGGATACACTGGGATTCCCAGTTCTTGTTGAAGCCATGACAGGGAAGAGTTCTCTAGACAGCTCGTCGTGTTGATGATAACAGCCGAAGCTGTTCTTTTCTTGATTATCTCTCTCAAGAGCTCAAAATATGGCTCTAGTGGCCCCATTCCTGAAGTTGGTAGGTCTTTGTATCTTAATGGATGCAAATTTTCCACTTCCTTGTCTTGCACTTCAGGATCTGCAAAATATATAAAAAAAAGTCTCGTTTAGCTAAACAAGGTTTTTCAAGGTGGGAAATAAAGCTAGTCTTTAGGTACCTTGCATGTCGATCAAAAACTTCTTGGAATTGAGTTTGCTTAAAACACTACAGCAAAATTTATGTGTAGCAGTTGTAGTGCTAAAGATGATACTTGGAAGGTTGAACTCCTTAGCTGTAGCTCCACAGAAGTACATGAGCTCGTCGTAGATGATACATGCTATATCACTGCCTTGTTGTAGCAACAACTGAGCTATACAGTCCTTGAAGCTTGCCTCACTAGTTTTGTTGAGCTTCATCACAAACTCAACTGGTCTTCTCTCGTATTGAGACACCGGCACAGTTTCTGGTATGGTGACAAATTGAAAGCCAGATAAATGTTGAGATGAACTTACTTGGTTGCATTCTCCCTGGGCAACTGTAATTGAGAAGCCCTTCAAATTAAGGGCTTTACCGAGTTGCATGATTGGAGTTATGTGTCCCTGTAATGGAAGTGGAACCAACACCACCCTTATCTTCTCTGCTCTTTTCTCCATTACCTAACTTCTCTCTCTCTTTTCTTTCATCGCTCAGTGTGGAACAGATATAAATACAGGGAAGGTTTCCATATTTAGATTTCCATAATTTTCCCAAATTTATTACTCATCTGGAAAATTCTTCTTTTTCTTATTGCAATTACCTTTGCACATGCTAGTGTTAACACTCAACCGAAGGAAGAAAGTGAAGTTGATTCCAAAGTAAATCAAAGTTTTTTTTTGGTTTAATTTGTTTTGGCTCACATAAGATTTGTTGGTTAAAGACACATTGGTAGGTTCTGATTTTAGATTTAGATAACAAATAAAATGATCAGCGGATTAACTTGTAGTCTCCAAATATAATACTTTTCTTTAAAAGTGGCAAAATGCATGGTTCACCAATAACTTCCAATTGTGTTAGAGAGACGCCCACTAATGAACTTTCAATAGAAGAATAGAAGCTGACATTCGAACTATAGTAAACGTTCTTTTGTCAATATAGAGTTAAGTTTCGACTAGTTTAGATGCAATATAATATTGTGGTTCGAATGTCAAAATGGAACCTACCCGAATGCCTCCAAATAAAAATAACTCTGTTAGTGTGACAACTAAATGCAGATACTGTGAAATGCTAGTGTTGTTGTTGGGAGTTTGTAGCAGTTCCTGAATGGTTTTGGCGATTTGTTTTTGTTTTTTTTTTACATCTTTTTTGGCGATTAGTTTTAACAACTAATGTAGATACCCTTGTGAGATATGCTTCAGTTAAACTACATGCTAGTTTCCCTCCCAACATAACTCTGTCTGATATTATGACTTGATTTCGATCAAAGAAAGAAAGAAGCACACGACATAATGAGTTCAGACATCATGTCAACTGTTTAGCATCTTATGAGTCTGACTTTAACTAAAACTTTGCATATCCAATTTGAGTTCCAATGTTGAAGGAACTGTGAGTTGCTTGTTCTTTAATTCAGGTTTTCTTCGCTTGAGAAAATTAGTTTGAGTCAGGTATATAATTAGAATACCATCTCAGTGTAATCGTTTAGTACTTAGGTTGTGGTCAGTATGATCTTATCCTCTGTTGAAACTATACATATTTTGGTGTTTAGATATCTTGAGAGATTTTCAACAAGAGTTCAAGAACAAGGAAAGCATATGTTACATAGGTCTAATTTATTTATTCTTCTTTATCTTTAACCAAGTAAAGAAGCCAAATACAACGTCAAAAACTTCAAAAGGTTTGGGAGCACTATGAGGTAAGAGTTCAGTAACCATCTAGGTACTAATATAGTATCATGTGACTTGTTTATTAAGATCACCTTACCTCTGCAACACTTCTCTGGCCTTTTTCTTGATGTTGATGGAAATCTGAATCAAAATTCTCATAAGGGTTCCACTGCCTGAGAACCCACAAAATTCTTATGCTTTTTTATTTAGATAAGAAAAACCAAGTACTCATGATCTAAACAAGCTTGACTGTAGAATGATGTCTTATAATAGATGAAATGCAACTTCTTCAAGTACTTGACGAGATCATTGAATGCTTTGTGTGAGGAGCCTCCACTTCTTACAGAGGCTTGAAGCTTCTCTTTAGAACAAGTGCTCTCTCCCTCATGCCTGCACTTTCTTCATCCACAATCAACCTCTTCACAGCTCTCTCTACTCCTTCTCTTTCCATCTCACCTTCCAGCTTAATCCCAATCCTCCACACACTCTCTGTATACTTTGCCTTTAACTTTTGTTCGCCATTATAAGGCGTACTGAACATTGGAACTCCTTCCACAATGCCCTCGAGCGTTGAGTTCCATCCACAATGGCTCCAGAACCCTCCCACTGCAGGAAGTGCAAGTACTTCTATCTGTGGTGCCCACTTCACAATGTATCCCCTTTTTGAGACCATCTTACTGACTTCCTCTGGCAATGACTCTATCCATTCTGAGCCGAGGATAGAACCTGGTCGGATGACCAATAAGAAAGGTCGGTTGCTATTTGACAATCCACAAACCATCTCCAATGCTTCCTTGGTTCCTATCTGAGCTAGGCTTCCAAAGCTTACGTATATGACTGACCTCGGTTTCTGCTTGTTCAACCATTCAATGCAGCTCTTGTCCTCTTCGAGTAAACAAGAAATGTGAAGAGGACCTAAAGGGTAAACTGGAATTCCGAGTTCTTGTTGCAGCCATGATAGAGAAGATTTCTCTAGACAGCTCGTCATAGTGATGATATCAGCGGAAGCTGTTCTTTTGTTGATTATCTCTCTACAGAGCTCAAAATATGGCTCTAGTGGCCCCATTCCTGAAGTCGGTACATCTTTGTATCTAAATGGATTCAAATGTTCCACCGCCTTGTCTTGCATATGAGGATCTGCAATTTATAAAAAAAAATTCATTTAGTTAAACAAGGTTTCCAAGGTGGGATATAAAGCTAGCTAGTTTTTAGGTACCTTCCATGTCGATCAAGAACTTCTTGGCATTGAGTTTGCTTAAAACAGTGCCGAAAACTTTATGTGTAGCAGTTGTAGTGCTGAAGATGATACTTGGAAGGTTAAGCTCCTTAGCTGCAGCTCCACAGAAGTACATGAGCTCGTCGTAGATGATACATACTATATCACTGCCTTGTTGTTGCAACTACTGAGCTATACAGTCCTTGAAGCTTGCCTCACTAGTTTTGTTGAGCTTTATCACAAACTCGACTGGTCAGAGTCTCTAGTATTGAGACACCAGCACGCTTTCTGGTATGGTGACAAATTGAAAGCCGGGGAAATGTTGAGAAGAACCTACTTGGTTGCGTTCTCTCTGAGCAACTGTTATTGAGAAGCCCTTCAAGTTAAGGGCTTTCCCGAGTTGCATCATTGGAGTTACATGTCCTTGTGCTGGAGGTGAAACCAACACTATGCTTCTCTTCGCTTCCCTTTTCTCCATTGCTTAACTTCTCTCTCTCACTTTTCTTTCATCTCTCAAAGAAAGGGAAAATATATATATTCAAAGAAGGATTTTCATACAAATATCAGATTTGTTCAGGATTGTGGACATTGAATATTCGTCCATTAATGTATTTGTTTTTTGTGTCTCTCTTAACCACATGTGATACATGTGCTGGAAATGCATGGTAAGCGAATTAAAGATGGTTATGTGAATAAAATTTATTCAATGAGGTGGTTACATATCCTTATCTTTCAAGAGAGTAACCAAAGACAAGCAATTAAAGATGGTTCTGTTTTCTTGGTCCTCTAATGTCGTCTTTGGCTTCATATCAAAAGATAGGCTTTAAATAAACGGAAGATTTCCATAATTTTCTAAATTTCTTCCTCATTCGGCAACTATTTATTTTCTTATTGCAATCACATTTCCAAACGCTAGTGTTAATAGTCAACAGAAGGAAGAAAGTGAAGTTACTTTCAGAGTAAAGCCAAGTGTATATTTTTTGTTTTGTTTGTTTCTGTTTTGGCTCACATAAGTTTTTTGGTGGTTAAAGACACATTGCGTTGGTTCCATTATGAGATTTAGATAACAAATAAAATGATTAGCGGATTAACTTGTAGTCTCCAAATATAATATTTTCCTTAAAAGTGGCAAAATGCATGGTTGTCCAATAAGTTCCCATTGTGTTAGAGAGACACTCACTAATGAAACTCTCTATAGAACACTACAAGAATGAGGGGCTTTTCCGTCGAATTATTTACGACGATTTTTAGTCGTCGTAAATTTACGACAACATTACGTCGTATTTACGACGATCAAAAATTCCGTCGTAAATTCGACGTAAAAAATGACCCTCGTAAAATCGTCGTAACGTTACGACGATATTACGATGAATGAAGAACGAATTTTATTTCGTCGTAATGTAGTCGTAATATTTACGTCGATAATACCACTAATTGTCCTCTATCTCGTAATTGACGTAAAATCAATGTAAATGTTATGTAAGTTTTATTTCGACGTAAATTTGATGTAAATATGCAATGGTAATATGTTGGTAACAAAACAAAAAATTCTATATATACCCTTTCTTCTCTCATTATTCCATCAACCCAAAAAAACATATAAAGACACAAGTTTTTTGAGTCTTTGAATGTTTAAGTAAAATTTTTAGTAGTTGAAATTTATATCAAATTTCAGAAACAAAAAGTCAAATATTTGTTTTTGAAATTTCTATATACGATCTACGAAAGTGGATGTATACGCCCAAAAATGGTGATGGGTTGTTGACTGAAGACTTCAAAAACGGATTAGAAATATTCATGTACCAAGCCGGCCTTATGCAAACTGTAATTGAAAGCGGCAAAATGTATTGTCCTTGTGTGAAATGCAAAAATAGGAAACATATTCCTATTGACACTGTCTGGCAGCATTTATTGAATAGAGGGTTCATGCCCCAATACTTTATTTGGTATCAGCATGGAGAGGGATATGGTCAAAGTAGTGGTCAGATGGCTGCACGGAGTAGTAGTAATCATCAAGAACATGTGGATTTTGAAGCGTCCAATGATTATCAAAGTAGTCAAGTTCAGGATGAAGATCATGATAGGATGCATGAAATGGTTACTGATGCATTTCATGAAACACATGCTGATACTGTTGAGGAGCCCAATGCAGATGCGAAACGCTTTTATGATATGTTAAACGCAGCAAAACAGCCTCTGTACCAGGGATGTAGGGAAGGTTTATCAAAATTATCATTGGCAGCTCGGATGATGACAATAAAAACTGATCACAATCTATCTGAACTTTGCATGAACGATTGGGCAGATCTTATTAAAGAGTATTTGCCAGATGATAATTTGGCTGCTGAAACGTATTATGAAATTTAGAAGCTGGTTTTTAGTCTTGGATTGCCTTCTGAGATGATTGATGTTTGTGTTGATAATTGTATGCTTTTTTGGAGAGATGATGAGAAGCTTGAAGAATGTCGTTTCTGCCAAAAGCCAAGATATAGACCGCAAATTGCTGGACGTAAGAAGATTCCTTACCAATGAATGTGGTATCTTCCTATCACTGATAGGTTAAAAAGACTATATCAATCTGAACGGACAGCTGCGTC